GCCTCAATCCCTTCTCCTCCGTTCTCCTCTCGGGATCCTGGGCACGCACGCACACACACCCTGCATGAGTTTTAAGCCACCGGGTCCGGGACGCGAACCGTGGTCGACTACGTGGGAGTCCAGCGACATAGCCATTACGCTAACTGCTGGTTCCCCTTTGCCATTATTTCTTAACTCATGAGGCTGTTTATGTTTCTGTGTTTGTTAGATATCGAAGTTCTGTTGCAAATGTCCTGTGCTATGTCTTTTCATCAGTATTGTGAGTCTAAAGGATTTTATTCTTGTTTGGGGCTGCATTTCTTAAACTCATAAGAATTTGAAAAAGCAATGTAATACACTGTAAAGTTACATGTAATCCAATGTAATATAAAGAAGATTATGATGATAATAACAAAATAAAGAAAAAAATTAGAGAAGAAAGAAAAAAAAAGAACTTGAGTTATTTATACATTTTATTTTCCATTTAGTTTTTTAATGTAAATATCAAAGTCACTTGGGAGGAATGTTCGAAAGTTTATAAGTTGCATCTTTAATACAGTTGTTTCCAAATCATTATATTTGGGGTCAGCATTTGGCATGGTGGTTAAGATACTGGACTCCCACACGACCCACCACAGTTTGAGTCCCGGACCTTGCAGTTTTAACTCACACTGGGCACACATACATACCTAAAATCAATGGCAGAAAAGGGATTGTGGAGTGGGGGAGTGGCCATTCCTTCTGGAATGATTTCTCATTTTCCCTTTCTCTGTCTTTCTTTCTCTCTGGCAAGTGCACATGCCCTATAGCAAAAACAAAACATATTTAACCTGGTTGTACTCACCTGCAATTATTTTCATTTCACAATTTTTCCCTTGCTTTAGCTTTATCATATAATGTGCACATACTCACAAGCCTTTCTGAAAACAGAAAGGTAACTAAATCATGTGAAGTCTCTGTTATTTAGATCTTGCGCCATAATGGTGGAGACAGAGTGTAATGAAATAAACGTGTATGATGTAATGCCCTCAGGAACAAATCATACACAGAATATTTTTTAAAGAATTTTAAATTTTATTTTTTTATCATTATTATTATTTTCTTCCTTTTTTTTTTGGAGAGGTTTTTGCTATAAGGCATGTTTGCTCTCCAGAAATACAGAGAGAGACAGAGAGACAGAGAGTCAGAAAGCATGAAATCACCCCCTAGGGGGCATGGACATGCCACAATCCCTTCTCTTTATTCTTCTCTTGGGATCTTGGCCACACACGTACACACACCCGGCGTGAGTTTAAGGCACCAGGTCCAGGACTCGATCCGTGGTACATGGGAGTCCAGTGACATAGCCATTATGCCAACTGCTGTCCCTAACTGTGTATTATTACAGCTTATCAAATGAATGTTCTCATTATGAATACACTATATATTGGTCCAAAGACATTACTATACATATTCTTACCAATGGGTAATTTCCCAGTTTTGTGTCCCTTAAATGTTTTGGTTCTTTCTTTTTCCCTTTGATTCCCTCCCTCTCACCTTTCCCTATTCCCCACCCCCACACTGTGTCTAATATCCACGATGGCTCTCCATGCTTTTATACCTGGCAATCTTTCCATTTTTGCCATAGAGTGCAGACATTCGGTATATATTGAGTGGGGACATACAGTGCCTCTCTTTCATAGCCTGGCTTGCTTTGCTTAGCAGTGAATCTTCCATATTCATCCACTTCCTTTGTTTTATAGCCCTGCCCACTCACTGTCTAAATAGTGCCTAGACCATGTCAAAATGGATCTTATATTTGTCAAATGCATGGTGTGATTTTCATTAAAACTGTAAGTACATGTCCTTGGGGAAAGGCTGAGCAAGATAGGAATTTCTAATCAGAGAAAGCCTAAAGGGGATCAGAGCCACAGACAGAATAAAGAAATTAAGTTCCTGAGTGAAGGATACAAATTATAGCCTCTGTGACAGGTAAGTGGTCAGTGTGTACACCAAATCCTTTTCCTCTGTTTCTGGTAGTCGCATCAGCTTCATGGAACCAGAGAATGATACACAAATTTCAGAATTCCTTCTTCTGGGACTTTCAGAGGAACCAGAATTGCAGCCTCTCCTGTTTGGGCTTTTCCTCTCCATGTACCTGATCACTGTGTGTGGAAACCTGCTCATCATCCTGGCCACCATCTCAGACTCCCACCTGCACACCCCCATGTACTTCTTCCTCTCCAACCTGTCCTTTGCTGACATCTGTTTCACTTCCACCACCGTCCCAAAGATGCTGGTGACCATCCAGACACAGAGCAAGGTCATCACCTATGCAGGCTGCATCACCCAGATGTTCTTTCACGTGTTTTTTATAGTGTTCGATAACTTCCTCCTGTCTGTGATGGCCTATGACCGATTTGCAGCCATCTGTCACCCCCTGCACTACATGGTCATCATGAACGCTCGACTCTGTGTGTTGCTGGTTCTGTTGTCCTGGATCATGAGTGTTCTTAATTCCTTGTTACAAAGCTAAATGGCATTGCAGCTGTCATTCTGTACACAGGTGGAAATCTCCCACTTTTTCTGTGAACTCAAGTTCTGTACACAGGTGGAAATCTCCCATTTTTTCTGTGAACTCAATCAGGTAGTCCACCTTGCCTGCTCTGACACCTTTTTTAATGACATGGTGATCTATTTTATATGTGTGCTGTTGGGTGGTGGAACTGTTTCTGGTATCATTTACTCTTATTTTAAGATTGTTTCCTCCATACGTAGAATCTCATCTGCTCAGGGGAAGTGCAAAGCGTTTTCCACCTGTGCCTCTCACTTCTCAGTTGTCTCCTTATTTTATTGTACAGGCTTTGGTGTGTATCTTAGTGCCAGGGCTACACACAGCTCACACTCAAGTCCGACAGCCTCAGTACTGTACACTGTGGTCACCCCCATGTTGAACCCCTTCATCTACAGTCTGAGGAATAAAGACTTAAAGAAGGCCCTGAAACAATTATTCACAGGAAAGCAATAATCAGGCCATTTTTCAAGGATACATGTGATGGCAGGGCTGTAACCCTCACAGTCAGAAATTATCATTCTTGGGACCAGCAGCTGGCGTAATGGGTATGTCACTGGACTCCCATGTAGTCGCT